ACAGTGAGAAAGTTGTCTAAACAATCGCGACATTGCTTGTACTCATAACTCTGCTTTGAAAAACTGCCTTAGGAACTTTCTGCATTCTCAATTTTTCATCATGTTATTATGTCGAAGGCGCGTAGCCTTACACAGTCCAGCTTATAAATAAGGAACATTCTAACACAATAATAAGTGGGTACGTCGCTATAAAACTAAGCAATTTAGGTCCTGGCGCTAGGAACAATGACCTCATACAATAAACACAATCTTCCTCCCGAGGCCCCTTGTGACCAATCTGTTTCACATAAACTGGGTTGTATGAATTATAGTCGCGATTCGTGTTGGTCAGTCATCAAAAATACTTTAAAGATATCATTGTACTAAGACGATATTTTTTTATATGCAGGTATATAGGCTTTTCATATTTTTTTTTCCTTATGTCGAGTGCCGAACTGGCTTTTAATTAAACAAATAAGTTCCAATGTCAATAAAAAATATGAATGAATGGTTCATTAGAACTTTCACTAAACACCTTTCGGGCGCGTGCTGCTCGATAATAATTGTAAGACCATATAATAAGCGAAGGAAGTATTTAAAAAAAACACGGGGTAGAAATGTCAGGCCATGTGCGTGGGGGAGTCATTGTACGAACTCTCAAGACATTAATCTTGGAAGCATAGGGGAAATAGCCAGGTGAACACCCTTAGACCTTTGTCGACGTAACAATAAATGATTTTTAGCGGCATATTTTTTTTTGTTAAACTTACGTGGATACCATTATATATATCAATAAAGTTGACCACTTGGTTGAACGAATATGCGGATAAATATTTATCAGACTTGACCTTAGCTAACACGTGATTGTATCTTATTTTAGATTCAATCATTGTTTTTTTTCTTTGCACTATTCTTTTTATTTTGCCAAAATCATAATTCATAAGGGACTTGAAATTATTATACAATTTAAGTTTGTTTATTCTTATTTAAAAATAAAATTAATCTAAATGAAATTGTATAAAAAAATCTAAAAACTATCTTATGTAACTTTTACCCTACATCAACAGTCTTTTGAATCAGACTACGTTCTAAGTTCGCAATGACTTTTGTTGCATTATATTTCTTTTTTTAGATTGACCAAGTCATTTGAATGAAGCACATTTCATTATACAAACTTGGTGGGTCTATCGCGTGGTTTAATCAATGTGAAAGAGCAGCTGTTGCTTTGTCATGGTACTCCCCTCGGTTCATCTATAGTAATTTCCTTTAATACATTCCCGAATTACTTAATCCTACCTTTTTCGATAATTAAACCTCTGTTCAGCTTACTGTGATGATATAACATTTTACCAATTTATTGATAAGATTATTTTTAGACGATTTTCGACTGTTTGCGAAATAGCAAAAACTCCACACATGGTTTAAATATGTCATCCAATACGGCATATGGTATGTTACGACCGTCCCTATTGACGCGTTTAGCTCTATTGATACAAAAAAATACTCCCCTGTTTGAGATTTATTCATTGGAAGCTACTTCCAGGTTTTTTTTATATCGTTAGCAGCAACTTATCAATGTTTCACGGATAAATAGAACAAGCTCGGGCGCCATCTTTATATGCCAAGTTTCGAGTAACAGACTTACACGCTAGTAACACAATAAATAATTATTCCTACCAGTGGTCATCTATCGGTCGTCGAAATGCAACTTTTTTAGTTCTTCTGTATAAAAGTATTTTTTTTGTCGGATAGTAGCTATATGTACTTCTAATCATTCTTCTTTTAGCGTCATTGTGTGTGTGTGTGTGTTAATCGCATTGTACCAACCATTATGGTCGGTAGTTAAGAACAAAATGAATTTATATCATAACTATGTATACTTTTCTTAGTCCCTGAACCGATATAATTCTCAATATTGAAAAAAGGGCTTTTGTTCCTTATTATCCGAAATACAAGGGAAAAATGAGAATTAAAAAATTGCACATGTCCATTCAGAGAGGACTATTTATTTATATTGCGTGAGAAACTGTCTCTGAAATGAATAGCTGGTCTAAAACCATTTTTAGTTAACGTCCCCTAATCATCCTTTGTGATTGTTCCACGTGAGCTATTATCCTTTTGGATTAATGTCTATTCGTCTATTCAAAATCATAGTGGACCTGTTTTATCAAATTTATTTCAACATAGAAGGGTGTCTCTTTACGAATTCAGGTGTCCTCCACTATTTTAATCGACAAGGGTTATAATTTTGCAAAGATTGGACTGTGAGAATTTTTGCGTGCTAATGTCAACATTAATTTATCTATAATATTTATTTATAAATAGAGCTTTTTGGGTGATACAATTTAGTTTTATTGAACACTTGCTAAAGACAAAGTTCGTTGCTCAGATCAAAGGTGTGGCTGTGGCTGCAAAGTTTAGAGCTGTGCTTAGTTTTGTTATGCACTAATACAGCAAAGCAAATTCCCCTTATCAAATGTACCTGATGTTAAATGCAACTTTTACCAAAGGAGGGTCTTTGTATTGAGGCTTTAGACCCAGTCCATAGTAGCCCCATCGTCACCTGACCATATAATTATCTTATAATCAGTTATATTACACAGAATTTTCGCTACTATATTGCAAAACGCACCAACCTCCTCCGATAGTTGGCTAGTATGCCCTTACAATATGCCAGTCTTAAACCTATTAATTTTAGGGTTGGAGAATGCATGTCTCCTTTCCGCTTCATTTTTGACGCACTCCATTAATATGTGTTGCACATTCTCCACTTTTTCTCTTGCTAGACATCTTTTGTAATGCCAACATATTATGACTTGAGAACATCTAACCGGAGTAATTCTTTGTTTATGGTTTATGCAGAGGATGTGAACAATTAGTTCCAACTGATTGGCTTAGTATAAAGTTACTTGGAGTCGCTGCGTAAGCCACAACATGCGGAGTTGCCTGCAGATTCCGGTGTTAAGTTTCTCTTTAAATTGTTATTTTTTTGGCGTTGTAATTATTATGACATCGACTTATTTTCGTTCAATCTCAGAAGGTCCATGATTGTAATAATTTGTTGTAGATTATTAACTTTATGTTAATCTTGTGATTTATCTGATTAATTAACAAAGTCTTCTATACTATCTGATAATAAATAATAATAAGTTTCTGTTTTGAATACAAGTCATTATTACACAAACTTTGTTACCTTTCATTTTATAGATACTTAAATACGGATTTCTATGTAGATAACTAGTCGGCTTACGATTTTTAAAAGCAAGGTAGGTAAATTATTTACTTTTCAAAACTCCAAACCCAATTTGATTTTGTTCAGTCCAAAAATCTTCAATGGCACACGCAGCACGAATCGTGTCATGTACTAATTAATCAACAAAATCAAATACGACGCTAAATGTCTCCTTGGTAATGAGAAACCCAGTCTATGTTATCGCATCGACTTACATTATTTTGTTTCTCATTTCGTAACTGGACTCGGATAATTCATTTATTAACAATACCCCTTTATCTAACTCGTTTCGTGGAAATGCAAAGGAGAAATAAGAATTGCGAACGCGAGTACATTTCGGACAGCAAATATTACCTTTTTTTTTGTTAGATTCGTGTAGTTTCTATATACATTGCAGTAATATCCTACATACACTAGGGATTTTGATCATTTATTACAATTTCATTTGCAGTGTTGTTCCCAACAAATAATATGAAAACGAAGCGTGTGGATAAAATAAACAAGTTAAATAAATGCTTTATTTGGTAGTCATATATGATTCTTATAGCAAACATTAATATTGTTAGGCAGCCAGCAAAACATCGAAAATACATACTTCGGCTAGTGAAAACTGGACCTAAAAGCTCTAGTCAAATTGAAGGATATCATTAGACAGACAGAGTAGTTTCTTAAACACGATAATTTGACTTTTATTGTAATGAAATTACCGGAAAGAGTTGATTCTTTCTAATATTTTTAGAGATATTTTTTTTTCAGTCCTTTTTTTTATTTAAACATAGATTGTAATGTATTAATATAATTCATAGTTGATTCAACTAAAGTCTTTTGTCAAATGTTTTATATTTATAAGTAAGCAAGAAACTGAAAAAAAGCGCTAATAAGTAGTTCGTACAAACACAAAGGGGCACAAGACAGGAAGCACGGGCGATGCGTGAGTTAACAGGACATTTCCTTAAGGAACCCCAAGCTTAAGGGACATTTATTTTCTGCTATACCATATTCTGTCATTGATTCGCAGGAAATTGACCTGAGCGTAATATGGCGTATGCCTGGTAGTCAATGCTAAACAATTTTGTAACTTAATTACCCAAATCATAGGATTTCATGTTTATTATTGATTTACACAATACAAAATAGAAGAAGTTCTATAAATAGAGAAAAAAGTAAGATTTCACTAAAATCTACGCACCAGGTAGCTTAAATTTAGTGGAATCTTAAATTTTATTTCTCTTCCAAATCAAAATATATGTCGCTACTTCTCATCCGGCAAAATGGTTTCTCTGCGATAAAATGCTGAAAACCTCATACAAAATAGAAGGAGAAGTTCTAGAGTTTAACATAAAATGATATTATAGCGTACGTAGTAGATCACACGATTGGTCTAGTATGTGAAATTAAAGGTATTAAAAATCTCAAGATTCATCAGATGCCTTCTAAAATCGTATTTTTTTTTTAAAAGAGGCCCTAATGTTGACTTATGTAGAAAGTATCACGTAAATCGTAATCGGTCGTGAAATCAAAGGGAGAGGAACCACGGAAGACAGGTGGAAATGACTTGTTTCCTTCCTTTTAATGTGAAATGTGGAGTGTAAAATTTCTTCCAAAAAATGGTAGTTTAATGACCACACAAGGAGATTTGTCACGGACTTGTCGGCAATCTAGCTCTCGTGGACCTAGGATTCGTTATGCTATGTATATAAGATAGATTAACATTTATTTTATAGAATATGGTATACTTAATATGATGACAATGTTGTATTTTTTTTCTCATATTCTATCATGATCATACCGCATATTAAGTGTAAAAAATCGAAAAATAGTTTATTAGGTTATGTACAGGAATTACATTAATTGGTATATAATTTTTGATAGTACTACTATGTACTGAATGAGTGTAATGAATGAGTTTGTTTTACAGTCTAGACGGATGATTGGCGGCGTTTATCATAATTTTCGATGTGAATATATCGATATCTCAACAACTGATTAAATTTTATCAGTATCTGGCAATGCCCTTAAACTTTACCGAAATTGAGTATAACATGTACGTACATAGCACGGACCGGAAGTGATACGCTTTACGATCATCTGATATTTCTTTAAACGTGAAATAGTCTCAAATTAGAAGTGAATATGTCGACTCGGTATTCCTCAGAAAGTCAGCTGACTTATGGCAAACATTTGGGTCGCATTCATCGTTTGGAAATTGTGCAAAAAAGACGATCCCGTTACTAGAATATAAGTTTTACATCCGCTACGTTTTACATGCGAAGCTAACTTAAAACTAACCCTCAGTTATTTTTAATAATTTTTCAATTTTTCTTACGACATTATAGAGCATTCTAATTTACGTAAAATTTAAAATAAAAAGTTATTTCGTGTTCTTCTACAGTTATCATTGCGATGACATTAAACATTGGAATCACCATCTATTGGAAGCCTGTGGATGGCTAAATTACTTACTTTTTGTATAATCAACATTTCTTTGATCTAGTCGCTGACCTACCCAACAATAAAAAAATATAAAAATCGATTTTCTTTGTTCATTTTCTGTACCAGTTGCCTACACCTGCTCTCCTTCGCTTGTGTTGCGTCACACATTCCCACTGCGGGGTATGATTTCTGTACCTGATCTTGCATCTTTGTCATGTACCTACATTTTTCAATGTACTGTTCTTTTCTGTATCCCTCGAGGGTTTTTGTGGATCCCTTCACCCTTATTACGTATTTATGTCTAGCATATGCGATCCGTGTAGGTGTGTAAAATTGTTGTTGTGTGAGTGTGGGAACAGGGAATAAAAATTTTCTTCATCGCCGTATAGGTAGTCGTGTCTTGCCCTGCGCGTGAGTTGAGTTGTTTGTGCGTACAGAAATGTGAGTTGGATGATTTTTGGCGGGAAATGTTTTTTGATCGTGGGAAATATACTTGTGATACAGTTTTCATGATTGTTTTCTAACGTGAATATGGAGTGGCAGCTAAAGAATTCTGTCTATGCTTCACTCTATTTGGATAAATCGGCGTAATGTTATATGAGTGAGTTTCAACATTTTGAAAAATATTGTGTTTAATGTTTTTTTACCCCTTGTTGGTTTTACTATATAATTATTACATTTATCCTTTGTCTGCATTTCCAGTTATTGTATTTTCTTTGTGTTTTTTATATTTAACTGCCTATGTACTTAATTTTGTCATTCGTTCCGAATTTTAGTACTATCAAAATCCCTTTCAAAAAATTACTTCCTCAATGTTTTATCGTTGACTAGATATAGCCAATATTATACTTTAAATCAATGAATGAGAAACAAAACAAGTTTTGCAGTCAGCTGATGTCTCGCAAACTATGCATAAATTGTCTACTGTTTTTTGTTTCATTTGCTTTTTATTCTTATCCTTACCTCATCGAAACCCAACGTGTACAAGTATTATTGGTGTTTAAAACCGGTACTTTTGAGATATTTTTCCATGCCTATCTCGGAACTTGTTTTTCGATAGTCAAAGCAGAATCGGTGGATGGTATTTTAGTCTTTGTGTGTGCGTCGTTCGGTTGAAATTAGAATGGCATACGAACATCCAAAGGATCGACCGACGACGGACAGAAGTACTTTACTATAGTCCTTATTCCGAGAATCAACTTTGTTTTTACACAGAACAAAATTTTGGCGCCATCTTTTTTTAGTTCCTTTCAGTGAGAAAGCATTCAAAGGTAGGTTATAGGAATAGAAATGACATACATGTAGGTGTATTAATATTTTTTGCTATTATTTTTCCATGTTACATGAATTTCGTCAACAAGTCCTACTTATTTACCTAACAGTTTTCATAATGGGTAGGTTATAACATATTGTTCACTAGATTTGTTGTAGCACTTCTCTGGGGGAATATCTTACATCATTGAAGCCAAATAACACTAACTGGAGTTTTGTGTAAGTACATGCAAAGAGTAAGTCTAGTCAGACATAGATACTAGGTGGGGTGGTTCAATGAAATCTAAAATGTAAGCTTGATAATTGAATTGTAGGTAAAGAAAACTGCAAGAAAACGGAAATAATAAATAAGAACTAGTCTATTCAGTGCGGTTATAAAAATATACATACCTATATGTATTTTAATTTCTTTATAATTTCACTTTCCTTGTAAAATATTTTTTATAAATTCCGGACAATCGTTAAGAAGATTTCTGCAGGACTCACAATAAACTTTAGCTTGACGGATTCGATAATAAATTAAAGTCATAAACGAACATTTTGGAATTTGGGTCTGCCAAAAGGCCAAAACAGTTCAATAGTTGAATATGGCGGATGAGATTAAATAGGACGATTTGCGGTTATAGCTTTTCTTTGCCGCACCCACATGTACTTGACATCAGGCGGAGAAAGTGGAGTGATTTATTAGGCGTTGTAAAAAAAGGTTCTAAAAGTTAAATGATATAATTCTTTATCAAAGCAAAAGAGTATTCTGTTTGTGCTAGAGATTACGTAAGCTGTACGTGGAGTTATGTACTATGTATGATGATAAACACAAAACTTAATATTTTTGTCTGCAAATTCTATTTTTGAATGTGACCCATGCTGCCCAGGCGTGCCTCTTCGGCGATACAATGTGACTCTGTGAAACATCCGCTAGATTCATTTTAACTTTTTAAGGTTAAGACCACATAAAATAAAAAAAACCTCTTTTTTGTTTAAGTTGGCCTTTTTTACTTTGTTAAGAGGTTAGGGGGCGTCCATAAACTACGTGAGGTGTTTTTTTAAATTTTCTGTCCCTCCCTCCCCCCCTGGTGATATGTCGTGAGATTTTATTCAACCCCTTCCCCCATCCCCCAATCTCACGTGAGATTTTTCAAAATGTGGGTTTCTTACGTAAACGCGTTGGATTGTTATTGTAAAAAGAAAAAAAAAATTGCTTCGTGCTTTTATTTACGACTAGTTTTCTTTCGAACCAATTAATGAATGATCTTAATCGTATTACGATTACGCTTAAGAATAAATCTTAAGCATATACAATCTGGATTAAATCGACCAAAATAGTATAATTCTTTTTGTTTCAATCAGAAAAAAAAAATTGCGTGATATTTGCCGAGACCCCTCTCTCCAACGTAAGATTACATGAGATTTTACTCCACCCTCTCCCCCCCTTAAACATCTCACGTAATTTATGGACGCCCCCTTAAACGATGTGTATTTTTTGTCATGATTGGATTGTTATTATAAAATATATTAGTTTACTATTTTAAAAGTTTTTTTTTGTTTTCTAACCTTGAGGGGTTTTGAATGCTTACAATTAATACTATGTACTGTATTTGTATTTTTATAAAGAATAGTATAGACTGCTAAAAATACTTCTCTTTTTCCATCCAGTTGTGACCTTTATGGCAACATAAGACAAAATTTTACGGTATACTTACCACCTGTATTGCAAAAAAATCGTACTTCAACTAAATATTCTAGTAAAGAATCATTCCTTAAATACTACTAGAACATGACATCAGGGTATCTAATCAGTATCTTTTAACAAGCACATGCCTCGTTATTACAAAATATAGACATAAGTTATATATGGCCTAAAACTGATGCTGTCACTTTTTATAGCTATAAAAAGACAACATAAAGTTTAAACCAATACTAACTTTAGTCCGCGTTTTGGAATAAGGCATTTAAAATTAAAAATTGTTCGCATGTAAATAAATAAATAAACCTTACGTAACAAAACTTTTGGTGATAACGAAAACGATTACGTCGGCGACTAGATTGGTCAACAAGTTTGGATCCTAGCCTGTATCCTTAATAATACAGGAGTAAGACCACACGCAGCTTTTATAATTTAAGATTTATTTAGTCAGTCACGGCTGTACTGTTATACATATCTAGTGGAAATGTTGCTCTCAGTGTAACTACAAAGGTTGTAAGGTGTAATATAATAAAGGCACAAGGATGCTAACCATTCATAGGCGAGTCCTTGAATATACATGAGGCACTTCAAACCTCGAGTCCACATTTATCTGTTCAATGTTATCTCAAGCTTAAAGTCTTCCCGTAGTTAATTTCCAACGTGACTTGGCATATTTGTTTGTTCTATTCAAACAACCCAGTCTTAACTTGTAGGATGTTTGAACTTTACCTTTGCCGTAAAAAAGTTTAATATGAGTGTCACTGCCCTTAAAACACAAGTTTAGTGTACGTCCTATATGTATTTCTACGACTAAACTTGTCCGATTGCAAATTAATGACTACCATAATTTTGTACCAAAACTTTACTTCTTACATTTATTTTTTTGTATTGATTTGCGATTTGTAATCTCTAATAATCGAAGTTGCATTAAAAATGGACCATTTTATCCATCTTTACCAACGTCAGACTCCCCTATGATTCATTGGGAGAAATACTTACTAAAAAGAAGCCTTACATAATAATTTATAATGTGAAAAGTTCTTCTTGGTTGAAAACCAAAATTAAAATGTTTCATTTTACCCATCTTTACCAATGTCTGACTCCCCTTTTGATTCATTGTGGGCCTTAACATAAATCATCCCAAAAGTTTCAACAAATAACTTTTCTATATTTGTCAACAGACAGAGCGGCCATGAGTCGGAGTCGAGCGAGTATTCAGAGGACTCGGTGGTGTATGAGGATGTGCCGGCTACAACCAAAAGCGCTGGGCCGCGGAAGAATATGCAAAACATCAATAGGGGAAGGTGGACGAAGGAGGAGGTAAGTCTTATGACCTTATAATTTATTACGCAACAGTCAGCGAGGATGCAGATGCTTCGGTAGTGTATGGGGATGTGCCGGCTGCAACCAAAAGCGCTGGGCCGCGGAAGAAAATGCAGAACATTAATAGGGGAAGGTGGACGAAGGAGGAGGTAAGTCTTATGACCTTATAATTTATTACTCAACAGTCAGCGAGGATGCAGATGATTCGGTAGTGTATGGGGATGTGCCGGCTGCAACCAAAAGCGCTGGGCCGCGGAAGAAAATGCAGAACATTAATAGGGGAAGGTGGACGAAGGAGGAGGTAAGTCTTATGACCTTATAATTTATTACTCAACAGTCAGCGAGGATGCAGATGATTCGGTAGTGTATGGGGATGTGCCGGCTGCAACCAAAAGCGCTGGGCCGCGGAAGAAAATGCAGAACATTAATAGGGGAAGGTGGACGAAGAAGGAGGTAAGTCTTATGACCTTATAATTTATTACGCAACAGTCAGCGAGGATGCAGATGATTCGGTAGTGTATGGGGATGTGCTGACTGCAACCAAAAGCGTTGGGCCACGGAAAAATATGCCTAACATCAAAAGAGGAAGGTGGACGAAGTGAGACTTATACTTACTTAATTTTTATTTTATTACGCAACAGTTAGCTAATAGTTAAAGTCAGTACTACATCTTAATTTTAAGTACATACCAACTTCACGAAACTAGAGGTTTACAACTCAAAAATACATAACCTTTAGTTTAGTAGATACAAAATGGTACTTCCTAGAAATTATCGAGGCTTCACATTACATTTTTTACGACAGGAAATTGCCTCGGTCAAGCAATTTTATACAGCACCCTCAAATAATATTAAACACGTGTTCTTTTTATACCCAACTGACCCATGCCGGATCTCTTGTTAGTTGTTGAAATAATAACCGAGTAAGTATAAATAATGTTTTTTCAAAGAAAAAATCCACACGGTCCAGGGGTCAGAGGCCCAAGATTTTGACAGTTCTGCTCCGTTATCGTAACGCATTGTTAAAGTTTCTATGAAAACTAAGCAGCGCCCCTAACGAACGTAAGAATAAACTGGCTTCTTCCATACAAAATTTCTCAATGACGATACATGTAGCTGTTAAATGCTTAAAATAACAAAACAAAATAATTAACCAAATCTATTTTTATTGCAGGATAAGAAGCTAAAGATGTACGTGAAGGTGTATAATAAGAATTGGGAGTTGATAGCTGCGAATTTCGCAAACAGATCCGACTTCCAGTGTCAGCAAAGGTGGAGTAAGGTCCTCAACCCTGAACTAGTCAAAGGTCCCTGGACCAAAGAGGTTGGTATTATTTTTATATTAAACAAGCGGCCGCCCGCGATTTCGCGTTAAATCACTCGGGAAACTAACACTTTTCCGTGATAAAAAGTATCCTATGTCTTAATCCAGGTTATAAACTATATGCGTATCAAATTTCACCCAAATCCGTTTAGTAGTCTTTGCATGATTGAGAGCAAACATACAAACTTTCACATTTATAATATTAGTAGGAAGTATGACAAAAAAGCATATGGCCTGCCCCTGCCTGATGGCAAGCGGCCTATTAATTGCTACTTGCAATGCCAAAAGTATCACTCTAGGCGTCGTCCCTATAGAGTCCCTAGAGGCTCTATGGGTTAGGGGATCACCAATCAAGGTTTATTATTTTTCTATACTCGCCAATCAAGGTTTATTATTTTTCTATATTTCACTATATAACAACTTCGAAAGCTGGCAACTTGTTACTTTTCTTGACAACATTAATATGTGGTCTAGAAATAAGTAAAAGCCATATCCGAAGTACAGCTATATTTTACGAATAAGGGTTCAATTAACGCTTTTTTGAGATGTCAGTTGTCCGTTTATCAACTTCATGTAGAGGGTTCTAATGGTGCTTTTAAATATACACTAGCGACGGGTTAAGTTTTTCTTTGTTATTCTACCTATAGATAATGCGCTATCTATTGATCGATCTACAATCGCCAAACAGTCTCTTGCAAAGGAAATGACTCAGAGGTCATTACCACGATGCACGCACGCATAGAATTTGCTCATTCTTTCATTCATTATGCTCACGTTGATTCACGCTTGCATTTTCGGGAAGGGCTTGATCAGCTGTGTTGTTAGAATAAATACTGGGTAGTTTCCTCATACTGTTATCATGATTGTGGATTGATAAAAAATATAGTATTTCGTATACCTATTTTTGAAATTCATTTTGTTCACAAACAAGTGTGAGACTTGCATAAGTTCGTGTCGAAAAGTAGTAGTAAGAAGTACTTACTTATTTTTATTTCATAATGGAAACTAAATATTTAGTAAAATAGCTATGTGGTCGAATTTGGGCCAACAGGCGACTACCAGACATGACATTTTGTTCCAATACCTGAAATAAAATGATTTGAATGGAATTTTAACTTTTCTGTCATGAATAATGTTTGAGAGGGACCGAATGTCTTGCGTCGCCATCTTAGCTTCATTTCGTTATTGGCTCGATGGTGTTGATTTTGGTATGATTCTCTAAACTTTCAACTGAATTTAACATCAGTCTCTCCTTTTCATCCTGTATAGAGAACTATAAGGAAACACTTTTGTCCAAATTAAGTTTAGGTTTAGAGAATCATCATAGAATCGATACCATTATATTACTAAAACTACATTTAAAAAATAATTTGCTACACTTAAAAGTCGTCTGCGTGGGCGCCCACAAATCTCAGCGGAGTGGCTCATTATTCAAATAACTTTATGAATGACTACATTGCTTACCTGTGTGCTGTGCCTTGTGAATTTAAAATTGGCAGTTAGGCTAGGAAGCTCGCTACGTCAGAAATAGTTATCTTTCTACGTGCGGTTTAGCTACTATGATCTTGGAATTTTAATGTTATCAAATCGAGACATGAATGAAGGTCCGTGGTTGCGGTAATGAATTAAATTAAAGCTCTAGCTTAAAAATATCATCACTTTAATTAAATCCATGTGTTTGTATATACAAAAAAGAATATTTACATATATAAAGATGTGTAGTGGACTCACGCTAAATTACCATCTAATTGTGCTCATTATTTATTCTGGCACATAAGAAAATTAATTAAATGTAAAGCATGATCGTAAGATCCCATTGGTGGTAGAAATTTAGAACATCGATAAATGTAAATGAAGGTTTGATCCAAAAGCGCGAAAATTGTTTTAAAAGTGACATCATGACATTACATTAATTTCAAATAATAAATAAATACCTTATTATTATATAATGGTATTTTAAATTTGACACATTCCATTTTCCCAACATTTTGGCGTAATACACGCAACGATTGTAATAATTTTACATTTTTACTAGGTTTGCAATCATTTATTAACATTTTTACCAAATATCTGCACCTACTTTCACGACGAGAACATTGATAATTAGAATTACATCTGTTAACTTAAAGCTATTTATTACTTTGATGGTGTGTCGATTAGTATTCTGGTTGAATACATTGTCAAAGTTCCTCATTATTACAAACCTTTGCATTAATCCTTATGCCAGGAAGCGTTATCTACAGTATTAGTAGTTGTCTTCTTCATATTTTTTGTGCTTGCAACATATTCTGTGAACTCAACCTTATCTTCAAAGAATGTTGAATTTTGAATGCATTCTTTATTTGACCCCTTTCAATAGGGTAGCCCTTTTTTACAACGACCTTATAAAAGTGTATTATTTTTCTTCTTAATCTTCTACTAGTTCCATATTATCCCCACCTAAAATATTATTATGGTATATGCACCAATTTCAATATTGTAATCAGTCGTTTGAACACTAATGCCATATAAGTCCAATGTGCCAAAGTTTAATTTTTTATTACTAATTCTATATTAAGCCATGATGCCGCAGGATCTAGCGAGTGGTATGGTATAAGAAATCAAATTGACTCTTTTTATAACAGAAACCTGTTCTCTTTCTCACATCAATAATTGAATGGAATGCTGTCTTAGGTGCGTCTCATTTCATTGTATTTCATGATATATATATTATATCATAAATACCTTGCGGGTACATTCTGTGCTATATTAAGAGTCGTGTTCGTATCCCAAAATATATGATGCATTGCTTAATAAAACAACCACTATTTAATATTATTTTACTAAGGTATGGCTATGTTACCCATTCCTTTTGCTATACACATGTACTAAATATAGTCTAGCATTATGTTTCATTGATAAGTGTGTCATACGCTCTGAGTAGTTGAAATCCTCTTTATCGAATATACATTTTATTCGTTATCTCATTTTGTACTGAGAGACGAATCATGCGTCATGTTGCACAAATAACCATAATTTTAGTAATGTTTTCCCGCGCTGTTCGCTTATTTATGATTATAGGGTTTTGCTATTTACACAATTCCGTTCTGCTGCAATGCGTATATATTAAGATTAGTCACTTACAAAATGTTTCTCCTTCTGTGACCCTTCATTATAATGAAGAGAGAAGGTAGGATTCATGTCAAATTAAAATGTACCGATTAAATTGAATATAAATTTACATTTACGGAGCAAAAAGTGAAACAAACAAGACGTGAATGTTTGTTGTTTTATTCTGTGAAACAAACATTGAATCCTGAAATCCTTGTAAACTCGCCTGGAGATTTGCGATCTTAACAGGATGTATTGAGTCTCACTTGAATAAACAACCTTATTACAGCTTGTCTAGAGTCATTTTCACATTGTCACGTGATTTCTGGTTTCTATATAGTACTTAGTAGACTCAGCTGTTCACATTCAGTCTGTCCGTGACATATCCTTGTCGACCTTGACTCGGTCAAAAGAGTTTTTGTGTGTTTTTGCTTCGCTTTGTAACACGTGCTGATCGTTGATAGATGTACCCTGTTTAACGAATATAGAATCTACCTTTATTTTTTTGCTATCGATTATATCATCATATTTAACTTTGATCTGTATACAATATAGAGTACTACAAGAGTTAATGAAAACATAACACTCTTGATTTTGGACAGTTGTGTAGAAGCTCAACAGTTGGTTGATTTTTTAAGGTCTTGTAGTAATTACATATTAAATTTTTAAAATCCTCAATTCATAGTAGGTAGATCCTACATTATAAAAACATAAAATATTTAAAAAAGTATTTAATTAAATGTGAAAGGTTAGTATAAACTACTTTATCACATTTATAAATAGATTTTGATTATTTGACAATTAATGAAATGAATATTATCAGTAGGTACCTATAAGGTACTTACTTTTAATAAAACATACCGTAGTAGTTCACATGTTTCAATTTACATTCCCACAGGCATCAGGAAAACAATGTCTGTAATGTGCTATTCTCAAAATTATATGTGTGCTTTCTTAATATGAGTTTTCGTTTTCTAGAATGTATGCCTTCCTGATATGGATGCAACCAAAAAGGTTAATTCCAAAAAAAATTCCAAAAGGCGAACTTATATTCCCTCAGGTGGTTGAACGATTTCCTTGAAGACATTTAAGAAGGTAGACATTGTAGGAATTCAGAAATTTTAAGAAAGGACTAAGCACACATTTTAGAAAAGAGACTTTGTACCCCTGAGGGTTTACATCTGACATGTACCTATATAAGTAGATATGTATTAGTTTTAAAAGCACTTTTTCGAGTTGTGATATCAAATTGTAACCACATTCATTCCCATGAATTCAAGGTCGCCAATTAAACATAGCGATATATTATTTATTATTCTATCAGATATCTCTAAACGGTCAGCATAAGGTTCACATTTGAATGGACAGAGCTAGAAATAGACTTGTAAATTTTTTTGTTGGTAACAATTAATTATCTACAATACGTTACACTTTTATAATTACTGTGGAAAATGGAAATAGAACATTTTTATATTATTATTTATATCGAAATATTCTTATAGAGATACTCAGATTTATTGGTGAAGTAACACGAGTTAGCGTTTTGTAGTTTACAAGTATCAAGTTATATAGGTATGCAGATATTTTAATATTGTCTTCCTTCCTGTAGGCGAGTACGGTTCCTAGATTTCCTAATGGTTGGCCGAATAGATTTAGGGTGGGTAGACGAGCGAAACCCGACTATCGTACGAATATCCAAAGACCATAATGTTTCCGACCATTTTCACCAATGCTTATTTAGTTCACCAAATAGTTATGTATTCAAATCTTAATTATGTATAAATATTTAATTTTAGCACTTAATAAGGCTACTCGATATCTGCTATTTCTACATTTGACAGCAGTATTTTTGGCTAAAAAATGTATGTAAGACACTCCAACCATCTATCATGACAAGTTTTCCCACCAATGTTTATTTAGTGAGTAATGTACATAGCTGTAGGTATTTGACATTTGTACATTTGACAGCTCTATAACATCTTTATAATACTTATATTGTACTTAGTATATTATAGTATAATGCTGTCAAATGTACAAAAAATTTAATTGAATGAATATCCTCATGCTCTTGAGAAACTGCTGCGCCTTTACAAATAACAAATATTAATAGCCATGTGAAGTTCTAGAATTACACAAACGAAAGATTTGTCTTAGATAACTATTCTACAACGCTCAAGGGTCAAATTTTATAGGTATAAGAAGCGATTAGAGGGCAAAGCACGATTTTTGACAGCTCCGTAACGTATCGTCAAATATTGAATGGAAAAAGCTAGTTGGTTCTTACGTCCTATAGAGGCGCTGCTTATTTTTCATAGAAACTTTGACGATGCGATACGTTACGGAGCTGTCAAAAATTCGTGCTTGGGCCTCAGCCAATCTTAGCAGTTGTAATTGACCGCCCTCCCACCTCTTCACCTTCCATCCACAAATATTACGTTAATGTAATGTTAGCACTGAACTGTGAAAGCAGTCGCTCCTTTTCATTCCCTATAAATCACGATAAAATGATTGAGTCTGAAGTGCCAACATAGCACTCACGTGTCAGAGTATACTAGCTAGAAGCGATCAGCTGATCGTAGCGGTTGTAATTCATATTTTTTGTCCTCCCCCCTCACTTCACATCATCGCTTCCCACCCACCACGCGCCGACTTGCTCACCTTGTGCCATAACGATTTTCGCACGATGATTCCGTCATTCATTTATTTTTTATCGATAGATAGGTAGGTACCTTTCATGTTGGACGCGCTATGGTTTTCATCCTACTTGGCTGTCAGATCATGCGAGGCTCCTTTGGGGATACTGTGCTTCAATTGTGTGGCTATGATAATTTGTAGGAGTTTTTTTTGGCTGTAGTCAGTTGGAGTGGCCATATTCGGAGACATCAAATTAATGTAATTTAATATTGAACTGAAATATTCAACTTAATTGTTTTGATAAATTTATTTTATAACTTGACTAACACAAGCAGACGAAAGAAATAAAAATAATAAGAGCATATTACGATGTTATTTAAAAAGATAAGATATAGAGGTTAAACTTACATACGTAAGGATGCATTCTCTCTGTAGATTGGATATTTAGTGAACATCAATAACACAATATACATAACATACTATCATACCTTGCTAGTTTGGTAGAGTGTCGAAGGTGCAACACTTCTAGGCTGATAAAAATTTTTCAGATTGAATTATGATAAAAGTTTAGTCTGTCTCTTTTCAAAAGCAATAAAATAAGGCAGCAAGTAACTAAACTTCAAACTTAACACATAAAAGTTATTTTGCAAATGCACCCGCAATATTTGCCAAGTAGTATAATTTTCTGAGATATAGTTTTAATATTGTGTTTTTGTTGGTTTCAGGAAGACGAGAAGGTGATAGATTTGGTTGCCAGATACGGACCGAAAAAATGGACACTCATAGCACGGCATCTCAAAGGCAGGATAGGGAAACAGTGCAGGTAATTTTGCGTTTGCGTTTAACACATTGCGTTTAACACTGCGTTTAAAAATGCTTCTTAAAAACTGCAGCCTAAAATGGATGTAAAACGTACGCTTATAAAGCCTAAAGTTCCTTGAAATTCAGTTTATATGAACAAGTGTCGTTAATCTAAAGAAAATTTCACTAGAAGAAAATTTCTTTGGATTTATTAATCTAGCAGTTAAATGTTTAAATTAAAAGTATAATTAACAGTATTCTTGTTTTCTGGTCAACTTTTAGGGTTAAGTAATATTTATCTATAAATAAAAAGCATATTTAAATCTTCCTTTAAATTAGTTCCGATTTTGGCCACGCGTTACAAGATCTTGGTCGCACTTAGGGTTACCATTTAGGAATTTCAAAAGTCATGACAATAATCCTGAATTTTCAATAAAAGTCCTGACTTTTTAGTCACAAAATGGTACCATTACTCACTTAGTTACAATGGTATGGTATTTATATCAATATATACTTTTATTGTTCATATTTAATGTAATTTAGAAAATCCGGACAATTTAAATATCTATAGTCTAAAAGTCCGGACATGTCCGGATTAATCCGGACGAAAGGTACCCCTTGTCGAACTGGGCTTAAATTCAGTGCCCACTCTTATTTTCAACTATTTAAATTATATTTAAGGAAAAGTTTTATTATGGGTATATGAGAAATTTGTTAAGGGTTCGCCATATTTTAATTCTTTAGCTAGTACTATCAGCTATTATATTATCGTTAACACGAAAAAGTACGACATACTATATTTTTTAAGTTATATATGTAATTAATTAGTTTATCAATCTGCATCTGGGTTTAGCATAACCTAACTAGTGACATTTTTCTGAGACCAGACGAAAACCAATATTAGAACGAGATATCAGAACCGGTATTAAGAATTACATCCTTATAAAAAAGGATAGCTTATAAAGCTATAACCCTGATAGAAGTGATGACGAAACTTAGCAACCAATGCATGCAAAGTCGAGACCACGTGACAATGGATACAATTGTATCACGAATATAGCCACAATGGCTAATGTAATAAAGACTATTTTATTTTGAATTTTTACTTAGCACTAGTGGTCCTGAATATGTGTGTGTGAGAGAGAATGATAGAGAGAGATAGAGAGAGAAATATTTTATAAACCATAACACACGCAAATTTTACAAAAACAAAAAGCATATTTAGATTAATTCAATCAATTTTTTTAAAGAACCTAAATACTAAATAGCTAAGACTGGTCAATCAGGAGCCGGATGATAACATGGCATGATTCTTTAAACTGAAAATTAAATTAGATAGTTATCTTTTTACATTTCATGCCTTTAAGAGCAGTGTGACTGCACTTAGCAAAGAGATTTAAATAATACCTAGGACCTGATTTTGGCATGATAATAGAATAGGCATATGGGACCATGGCCCATCACACGGGCCCATTGCGGATTGTTGGCTGCTAGCGACTGCAGATGAAGCCGGGACCAACGGCTTAACGTGCGTTCCGAAGCACGGAGAAGCTCGAGATGATAAATTTTTGGTCACCCATCCAATGACCGAAAGTAGCAGTAAAATTTTGGTCACCCATCCAATGACCGACCACTGCGAAAGTTGCTTAACTTCAACGATTGCAGCAGAAACTGCTAACCACTTGCGCCATCGAGTTCCCGGCGCTTCAAATTTATTGAACAAAATGTAATATATCGTTTATTTATTTACCTACTAATATTATAAAAGCGAAAGTTTGTGAGTGTGTATGTTTGTTACTTCTTCACGTCTAAACGGCTAGAGCGATTTTAATAAAATTTGGTATGGAGTTAGCTGTGACCCTGGAATATCCCTAATAAACCGCGGGTAACACCGCGGGGCACAACTAGTTTAACTTTAAATATAATACTAATCATTCCTTTTCAGAGAGCGTTGGCACAATCATTTGAACCCATCCATAAAGAAGACCGCTTGGACGGAACACGAGGACCGCGTCATATATCAGGCGCACAAGCAGCTCGGCAACCAGTGGGCGAAGATTGCCAAACTGTTGCCCGGACGGTGGGTGTCAAGTGACATATTTTTTTAGAATATTCTTATATAATAATAAGTCAATTTTTCCCCCCTTCACCACTGACCCCCTCCCACATCCCCACTGACCATTCCTATCCCATTCCCCACTACGCTTACCAACTTTTTTTCTATCATATATAGTATTTTTTGTTACTATTTGAGGTATAAATAAAACGTTAAATTATAAAAGTATTCCTTTTATTTCAGGACTGACAATGCAATAAAGAACCACTGGAATTCGACAATGCGAAGAAAGTATGAGCCTGATATGGAATTATTCGATAACCTAAGAAGGAAGAGAGCTAAGAAGGATAATATAGCCACTTCTACACCAACTAGAAGGCCGCAGTCTAGATATAATGAAGTGAGATTGTTTGAAAATTATATTTGTTGCACCGAATATGGGTCCTGTCGAATGTCGAATTCGGTCGAATGTTCAGTTTTTAAATATGTGTCTAAGTGCGGACGAAGTAGCGATTTTAATAAAATTTGGTATGAAGTTAGCTGACACCCTGGATTAACACATAGGCTACGGAAAATATTCGGGAAAATATTCCTAATATACGGCGGGTAACACCGCGGGTCATAGCTAGTAATAAATAAAAAAGAAATTAAAGCATAGTTTTGATACTTGATGAAGTTCTTGTCTAGGTAAATAAGAACAAACATGAACGAACATCAACATATTTGCTTACAAAGAAATCATTTGATCTAGATTTCATTTTACAATACGTCTTTTAAATTTTCTACTTCTCATTAAATTCATTTAATGTAACCCAAATTCGGTCGTAGTCGAAGTTATAGACTGAAGTTTAATACCGAATTTCGGAGCATCTCTAAAAATTATTAAATAATGTGAATGACAAATTTCGGTTGGCCTTAAGTTCTCCTTCTGCGTACAACTATTAGAGTATCTTAGGGCTTACACTTTAGGTTTCTGAAAAATTCTGTTTGAGCTCTGAAAATAAAATTTCGATACACTTGGTATTGAAATATAGGAGTAGAGAACTTTTCGAAAAAGTCTCCTGGGATCCTCTTCATCGAGATACGAAAAAATCTCCTGGGAATTTACTGGGAATCAGGAAATCATTATGATATGGTATGTTAGGTTATAGATATATCATTAGAACTATACAAGTATATTGACATTACTTCTTCCTTTTATTAACTATATTTTTATTCTAGTAAAATAATTTTCTTTCGTTTGAAACATCTACCAGTTAAACACTTAAAAATAAAAATAAAACTTTATTATTTTCCAATTCACAGTCATGGAACGACCCATTCAACGAGTCCATACAAAGCAACTCTTCCACAACAAGCAACCAACAACCATCCAAACAAGTGCTCCACTTCAGGCAATTATTAAAAGAGCAAATATCGCATGTTCAACAACAACAACAACAAAATCATCAACAACAAGAGCATCAACCAATACAAATCCAAAGAAATAGTTCTCCAGAGAGAGGAGGATTGGTCGCTGCAGACGTAGAGATTGTGGACTCACCGTTTAAGTGAGTTAAAGATTTTTATTATTGAAATCAAAGAATTAGAAATAGTATTGAATATAAGCTACTCTAAAAAGTGGTTCCATGCAAACTGTGATCAAGTGCTGAACTGTGAAAAAGTGAAAAACTGCGTTCTACAAGCCGATCATGGGTTGTGGTTTCTGTTCAACATTATCTAACCAAATGAATGGATAGCCAAATTAATTTGCAGATATTTGTTTTGTCTGTGTGCGTGTCGCGTTAGAATCGAAGTTTAACTGTATGAGTTTGGAACCATGTTTAAGCGACCTTTGTTAAAGATTGATGCTTCCCTAAAATGTGTAATTCATTGTAACTTCATTCATCTTTAGCATGTCGTAGTTGATTTTTCATTGTTATTGAAAATTATTGAAATCCTTTGATTGTTAATATCGATAAAAAAACAGAAAGGATTATATTTCTTGTATGCCTTTTCTCTTTTGCTAAAGTGAAACTTTTATTACATATCCACAAATTTTTATCGTTCATCTTTAGCTTGTCGCTTTACATTTTTAAATGTTATTAAATTATTTAGTTTTTGTGAACGAGCATTGGTTGTTCAGTGGTAGAAAGCTCATTGCGACGCGGGCGGGTTTGTAACCCCGTCCCTTTTTTTAATGATTTTAAAAGTGTCTCAAAACCACACCGTTCATTTACTCTTAGTCTAAGTTTTACTCTGCGCTTTCCTTCTCGAAATTATCAAGCAAAAGACTGTAATACAATTCTATAATCTATACAAAATTCTTATTACTACCGTCGCAGTACTGAATATGTTATGGCTAATCTTGCAATTTATTTTAAGCATTTTATATTTTAATGGCAGTATTATAGTGCGTGGTGCCAAATAAAAAATTTCACAATCATTATAGAGTACATTTTATAATATATAATGCAAGTAATAAAGTGTTCCCAGTACTGAATAACTTACATAATACATTGATTAATTATTATATGTCTTAAGAAAAAAATCTAGTAAAAATTTCTTTAGATTTGAACAATGAACATAGTTAAAAGCATTAAAAAATAAAAAATATAACTAATATATATATATCTTTTTTACAGATTCATCAATATCGAAACGCTTCCAACAAATTCAACTGTGAGGAGTTACTTGTCACAAGCGTCCACTAGCGATAACAGTAACCAAGATGCAGGTAAGATATATAATAATACTAGCTGTGGCAGAGAACTTCGTACCGCCATAAAAAAATAGGGGTTGGTGGTAGAAGAGTGAAAATTTAGGGTTGTATGATGTATCATAAAAAAATAAAAATATTTTTTTTGTCAAAATAAAAAGGTTGACCACCCTTAACATTTAGGGGGATGAAAAATAGATGTAGTCCGATTCTCAGACCTATTGAATATGCATATAAAATTTCACGAAAATCGGTCGAGCCGTTTCGGAGTACTTCAGTTTATATATTGTAATAGAAAATATTTGAATGATCCCCAAAAAATAAACTTTTTGAGCACCTAAAAAATACAATAGGTCACCTAAAGGTTTGATTAACAATTTTTTTTAAGATCATTTACCTTTATTTTTTAACATAAATTTAATATGAATGACTGGTTATTGCCTATTATATTATTATCCTACTAATATTATCGACATGTTTGTATGTATTTTAATCAATTCTTACAAAAACGTCTGAACGATATTTGATGCAATTTGGTACACGTTATATAGTTTATGACCTGGGATAAGACATTCGATACCTTTTATCTTTAACTTTATTTTTTTCAGAATTCCTCAGGAACCATACATTTGTCTATAAAGAATCCTAATCTTCTAGGTAATAAACTATATGCATACCAAATTTCAACTTAATCCGTTAAGATTAATTTGCATGATTGATTATTAAACATACAAACTGACATTTATAATAATTAAGGGTTTAGTAATCATCAAATTATGTAAAATTTATCATTAAAATCTTATTCCCAGTAACATACTCAGTCCAAGAAGAGAGTATGAAAGAGATAGTTGTTCCCTCTGTCTACACTTCTCCGAAGAAGAAGCTTCTAGATTCTAATAGTCCTCCACCGATACTAAGAAGAAAACCGAAGAAGTTATTAACACCCAACCCCAATGTGAGTTTGTGTATTGTATCAATGATATTTTGTAATTTTTACTATAGTAATTTCTCTAAGATTGCGTTGTTTCATCTAAAGTTAAATTTGACTATATAAAAATTATTGACAAATAGTTATTACAAATTTTGACAAATAGTTATTTTTCCTATAGTATTTTAGCTACGGTCAAATTTAACTATGGATGGGACAACGCCGACTAAATGAATTAAGACGAAAGATCGATTCCACCCGCCATCTGCTTGCTTTAAGGTCCTGGGTTCGAGTCCCAATAGGGCCATTTATTTTTATAATCAGCTCTGAATTGTATACAGGATAGACAAAACTACTTAACAGCTGGTGTAATGGTATCGAAGTAAAGATGTATTACATTGTAAGTCAATTAGTAATTTATCAATATGTTCAAATATCATTATTTATCTAAATCCGATCTATTTTCTATACTCTCACGATTTGATCAGTTTTCCATTAATTACTTTAAATCATATACAGGGTATATGATTTAAATACGTATTAATTATATTTTACATCGTTTTCTAAGATTAAACACAGCACAAGCTTTGTATAAGAATTGTCACTAAATAATTCTTTAGGTTGGCCAGAATTTATTACATATTCAACGGAGATTACGAGGATATTTTAGTGTATTTGTAAATTTATTAAAAACATTAAGTTAGTTGTATTAAGATGTAGTAACTCTATACCTATAAATAAAACATTTCATTTTCCAATTATTACCACGGTAATTTCCCTAAATACCCACGGGAACAAAATACATAAAAATTAACGCCTAAATGACTATTTTTCTTCTTCTTTCTTCCTGTAAGGTAGATTTTGAAAAAGTATATTACTCGTGTTTTTTAAATTTCTACTTAGAAGTGAGGTCACGAGACCCTGCTCTCAAACTTTGACGCGCTTTATCTTTGTAATTTTTGGTAAACTCACTTTGGGGCTAGGCTAATTGGTGTGAGTGTGGGAAATTGTATTATTTATTCATTTATTTGTGTAAAACTGATTGTTTCACAAAAACAAATACATAAATAAATAAAATTTAATAAGTACTGATATACACTTCTGGACACATCTATTGGCCCACCTTAGAGTTTAGGTTTCGATGGCCCCTACCGAAATATGATTGCTAGATTGAACAAAAACTGTTGATGCAGTTTTAAACCTGATACATTTTACCATCTTTTTCGATCGTATTGTTTTAAATTTGAATTCAGAATACCATACGACATGGAGCTACGCCTAACAAGTCGGATATGTGCCTTGTTAAAGGCAATTGATTTTTGAATTTAAAACATGTTTTATCAAATAAAGGTTCAATTTAATAACGCGTGTTGCCTCCATGGGCATCTACCACAGCTCTCATACGATTAGGCATAGGAGTTTATCAACCGCTCTATGAAATTTTGAGGCATCATCTCCCATTCCTCTTCTATGGCAGTTTTCAACTCCTGCATCGTCTGGGCAACTGGCTGACGAGCCCTAACACGTCTTTTTAGCTCGTCCCACATGTGCTCAATGGGGTTCATGTCTGGGTTTCAGGCTGGCCAGTCCATAACTATGATGTTCACACCCCGAAAATATTCCCTGACGATGCCGGCCACATGGACTCTTGCATTATCATGCATAAAAAGGAAATTTGGGCCCACATAGTCCGCGTATGGTATCACGTGAGGTTCTAAGCACTCACGAATGTACCTTTCAGCATTTAATGTTGGCAGCCGTGGTCCTGTAACAACCTCAAGTTGAGTTCTGCCGCTCGCGGATATACCGCCCCAGACAGTCCATGAGCCACCGCCATAAGCAACCCTCTCTTCAAAGCAGCATTGTGCGAAACGCTCTCCCTTACGTCGGTAGACCTTCTTCCTTCCATCCATCCATGTAACACAATTTTAGACTCATCAGAAAAGAGTACACGGCTCCAATCTTGCTGTGTCCAATTTAAATGACGGCGTGCGAAATGAAGGCGCGCTGTTCGGTGGGCTCGCGTTAGTTTGGGCCCATTAGCTGGCTTGTGTGGTACCATATCGCGTTCTTTTAACCTTCTCCGAACAGTTCGAGCGCTCACAGATACTCCGTGGAAGTCGCGAATTTGTTTTTTTATCTCAATGGAGGTAAGGTGACGATTTCTCAAGCTGGTCGTCACGATGAATCGATCCTACCTTTCAGTTGTGACCCGAGATCGTGGCCTTCCTTGGCGACGAACAAAGCCGCCAGTCTCTAGGCACCTCCGATAAACATTTCGGACCGCAGATCGACTTAAATTAAGTTGAGCACTCACGTTTCTTTGGCTGTGTCCGGCCTGAATAAGTGCCACAGCTTGGGCGGCGACTTCAGGTGAAGTATCCATAGATTATTGATAGAACCTCACCTTAATGTTAAGAATAAGTAATGTTTGTTGCAAAACCAAAGATATCAATCACTTTTTCAAGAATTAAATCCAAGTAAACCAATAAAACCAAGTTTTCTTTGTATTCGACTGTTTGATATCAACAAACAGGCTCCAAATTGTCTTTTGTTTCTTTAAATTCTGTGTTCGAAATGCAAAAAAAAGACTATTGAATGAAATTGTGAATGTGCCAGGTTCAAAACTGCATAAAAACTTTTTGCTCGACCTAATATAAAATTTTAGCTAGGACCAAACGAAACTGAAAATACAAGGTGGGCCAATAGATGTGTCCAGAAGTGTATAATAACGCCGTTAGTATCTAATGTGTGCATAATGAGTTTCTGTAATTAGCCTTAAGATTGTATTTATATTTTATTGTATTAAATCCACAAAAAACCGTTGTAGAAACTTTGAGCCCTACAATAGTCGCGTATGATGTGTAACATTTGAAACCTCACCTTATGTTAGTAAAAAAAGAAATAAAACAACTACAAAAGGAATAAGCCATTTGAACATTATGTTCTAAAATCAAATCAAATAGCGCGCGCTTTCGCGACTTCCTGTTACACACTTCCGTCCCATTTCACGAAATCACTCCCACAAATGCAGGAAAGCGATAGGAAAGATGTTACATATGAATAAATACATAAATTACCATTCCCAGATATGGTCAGATCCAATGTCTAGCGGAGTGACGCCTATTAAAGCGTTGCCGTTCAGCCCTTCGCAGTTCCTCAATTCCCCGGCGGGAATATCGTTCGCGCAATTCGATTCTACGCCTTTGAGAACTAATATGCATAAGGTTGGTATTGTGATCTATCTAATAGGCTATTTGACAGCATGAATAATAAAGTAACAATTGTTGGCGTCTATATTTAATATTATTCAATCTATACTATAAGACTGTTAATTAACAACACAGTGGAAACAATTTTATTCCTACATTTTACTAGAAAAAATCCACGCGGACCAGGCACCAGACGGGACTCGAACCCGCTCTCTACCGTCCGGATAGGGGTGGGTGCGGATGCGAGTCTAGAATTTTTGTAGTAAAATTTTCTTCAGATTTAAAAATCTAGGAGTTAAATGCTAAAAAAAATACAATGTTACTCGCTTATCGAAAAAATATTCAGTCTTATAATTGTGGTCTACATAATATTTTTTTTTGTTTTTTGAAACCCAAAATCAGTATGTCAAAGAAAATTTTCATAATAATGATTGAGCTTTCTTTGAACTTTGAACCCTAAATCAATAATTAATATATGAAAGTCAAAATATATAATTAAAATGATTTTTTCCCTCTGTTTATAAAGTTAACTTTGCAAACAGTTGTATTTTTTTGTCAATTGTTCTATCTGAACAAATCTTAAATATTCATTCACAACTATTATTTTATTATGTATGACGAAAAGTCATTTCATCTTTTTTATCCCTCTCTACTTTCATCATCAGCCAATTAATGTCCCCATTGCTGGGGTAAAGGTCTTCCCTATGGATGGAATAGGGAGATTGAGCCATGACTCACCACGCGGGCCCAGTGCGGATTGGTGGGTGCCAGAGACTGCAGATGCAACCGGGACCAACGGGTTAACGTGCCTTCCGAAGCACGGAGGAGCTCGAGATAGTAAAATTTATGGTCATCCATCCAATGACCGACCACTGCGAAAGTTGTTTAACTTCAACGATCGCAGCCGAACGCGCTAACCACTTTGCCATCGAGCTCCTCACCTATTGGGATAGCCTATCTACTTTAATATGTGTGAAAGAATTAATCAAAATAGTTCTAAAAATCTATATAATTCGTTTCAGGATTGGGGAACGAGTCCATTATTGAATACTCCAACACCAGCTAATATCACTCCAGGGAATGCTAACATACGAAACAATACTCCCAAGTAAGTGTTAAAACTTAATTATATGATCATCACCACCATCATCAGCCAATTACGACCTCCGTGGCCGAGTGGTTTGTACGCCGGGTTTCATGGTGTCGCCGACTCCAGAGGTCCCGGGTTCAAATCCCGGTGGGGGTAGATGTTTGTATGATGAATACGAGCATTTGTACTCCAGTCATGGATGTTTAATATGTATTTCTATAAAAAGATACTTATATATGTACAGTATATGTATTCGTTACCCTAGTATCCCATAACACAAGCCTTATAGTGCTTACTTTGGGGTTAGGCTAATTGGTGTGAGTGTTGGAAATATATTTTTATTATTTATTTTAATTAATGCCGCCACTGCTGGGGCCAGGCCTTGCCTATATATGGAACAGGGAGATTGGACCGTAACCCACTCAATGCGGATGGGTGGGTGTATCTACCTTAACGTGCCTTCCGAAGAATGGAAGAGTTCGAAATAATAAGTTTTTGGTCACCCATTCAATTACCGACTATTGCGAAAGTTGCTTAACTTCTATGATCGCAGACTGAGTCAGCGGGTTATGAATACATTGTACTTAATAAAGAGTATCGATATATTTTTGTGTTTGTAACATAACAAACTAAAAATTCTTTAACCATTAAAATGGTACACTGTCGCATATTAACTACGCTATATTGCATGTAAAACCGGGTAGAATCGTTAGTTTTTTATATTTTTATTAGGCAGGAAAATGTCATTTGCTTGCACTGGTTTTTTTAATCAGAAACAAGAAGAATTGGGTAAATTTAGATTTTTGCTAAATATTCCAAAAATGTAAAACATAATTTTCATTTTACCTTATCGCAGAACCCCTACACCCTTCAAGATAGCTATGGCAGAGATCGGCAAGAAATCAGGCTTAAACTATGAACCTTCAAGCCCGGGCTTATTAGTGGAAGATATAACAGAAATGATCAAGAGAGAAGAGAAATCAGAGACAAGCGTGCAACTCAACGATTCTTTGTTGTCTGCAGCCGCAGATCAGGAGGGAAATCAGGTAAATATATCTAAATAAATATATAAAAATAAATCCGTTCTATTCCTGGCTTGTTAGTGGAAGATATAACGGAAATGATCAAGATAGAAGAGAATACAAAAACCAGAGTGCAACTCAACAATTCTTTATTGTCTGTGTATCTTTGAAAGAGGATCCGTAACGATTTTAGTTGAGAATGCAGATTTATAGAGCTTAGGATTCCATAAAATAATGTTTAAATTTTTGTTGTACGACAAATATTGATGGCCTGACCGCGCGGTAATTGTGACGTCACAGATCTCGAGCGCGAGCTTGCGTAGAGACGCTACTAAAGTTCGACCGGAGTGAACGACGATTGAGCTCTATGACGCATAAAAATCGCAACGAATGAACCGATTTCGATGATTTAAAAAGTATAATAATTATAATTATAAAGCTTATTAGATCATAATACTATTGATTTTGAGTTGATTTGCTGACCTAGTATATATTACGCATAAATATGTCGACTGTAAAGTACATGTTTTTCTAGTAAAATTTTCATGACGCATATTTCTTTTTTTTGACGACCTTCGTGGCCGAGTGGTTTGTACGCAGGGTTTCATGGTGTCGCCGACTCGAGAGGTCCCGGGTTAGAATCCCGGTGGGGGCAGATGTTTGTGTGATGAATACGAGCATTTGTACTCCAGTCATGGATGTTTAATATGTATTTATATATAAATATACTTATACATGTACAGTATATGTATTCTGTCCGTTACCCTAGCAACCCATAACACAAGCCTTATATTGCTTACTTTGGGGCTAGGCTAAATGGTGTGAGTGATGGAAATATTTTTTATTTTTTGTCTTTAGGTTAACGATTCCGGCATAGGCAGTCTGAAACGAAGGTGCTCCGAAGGCTCCCAAGGCAAAGAAAATCTCCCCGGAGTTCATAAGAAGGCCCGGAAAGCTTTAGCCACCAGTTGGGGCACGGCCACCAGTACTCCGCATTCTCACACTTTGGTCCCGGAGGTGGCTTTCATTGTTGAGACTCCGGTAAGTATTATATTATCATCATCATCAGCAGCCTATTTTTGTCCCCACTGCTAAGGCAGGCAATGAGAAATTCCCCGGAGTTCATAAGAAGGCCCGGAAAGCTATAGCCGTCAGTTGGAGCACGGCCACCAGTACTCTGCATTCCTACACTTTAGTTCGCGAGGTGGCTTTCATTGTTTCTGACTCCGGTAAGTATTATATTATCATCATCATCATCAGCAGCCTATTTATGTCCCCACTGCTATGCCCCCACTGCTAGGGCAGGTAAAGAAAATCCCCCCAGAGTTCATAAGAAGGCCCGGAAAGCTTTAGCCGCCAGTTGGAGTACGGCCACCAGTACTCCGCATTCCTACACTTCGGTCCTGGGGGCTTTTTTCTATTGTTGAGACTCTGGTAGATATTATATTATCACCATCATCAGCAGCCTATTAATGTCCCCAATGCTGGGGCACAGGCCATAGGGGGATGGCATAGGGAGACTAGACCGTGACCCACCACGCGGGCCCAGTGCAGATTGGTGGGTGCTAACGACTTTTGATGCAGCCAGGACCAACGGCTTAAGATAGTAAATTTTTGGTCACCTATCCAATGACCGACCACTGTGAGAGTTGCTTAACTTCAACGATCGCAGCCGAACGCGCATACTACTGGCGCCATCGAGCTCCTCGTAGTATTATTATATATAAAAATAGATAGTTATAATTATTTACGAAAGAATCTCTCCGGAGTGGAGAAATCGGAACTATATGTGTGCCAAATTTCATCCAAAGCTGTTCAGTCGTATTTGTGTTATTGAGTAACTAACATACAAATTTCACATTTATAATATTACATAGCAGGATATTCATCATCAGCCCTTGAATTTATCATCTACTGGAGATTAGGCCTTCCCTATGGATGGAATATGAAGACTGGGCTATGACTCACCGTGGGGGCCCAGTGCGGATTGGTGGGTGCTAACGACTAAAAATGCAGCTGGTTCTATTGGCTTAACATGCTTCTTTGCGAAGAGATCGAGATAGTAAATGTTTGGTAACCCATTCTATACCTGGCCATTGCTAAAGTTGCATTAACTATGTATATTATATTAAAACTAGCTGTCCCAACGAACTTCGTATGGCCATAAAAAATAGGGGTTGGTGGTAGAAGGGTGAAAATTTAGGGTTGTATGTATTTTTGTATGATGTATCATAAAAAAATAAAAACAAAAAAAATTGTCCATAAAAGAAAATTGATGGACCACCCTTAACATTTAGGGGGATGAAAAATAGATGTTGTCCGATTCTCAGACCTACTGAATATGCATTAAAAATTTCACGAAAGTCGGTCGAACCGTTCCGGAGAAGATCAATCACGCACACCGTGACACGAGTATTTTATATATTAGAGAGATTACGCGTTATAACTACCTGTTTAAGGTTTTGTTTTTAATCAAAACCTTTTTTATTATTAATGGTTTGGGTTTTTTTGTTATTAATGAAGCAATTTTTTATGCATGTTTATAAAAGATCCTATTTTCCATTGTTACAGAGCAAAACTTTAGCCGGCGACAGTTCCGTAATGTTCTCACCGCCGTCCATAGTGAAACACTCCCTTCTAGAAGAGTCAACCAGTCTCCATAGTCTTATAAGCGCCGAAAACACGCCAGAGACAAGCAAATTCCAAGACATAGACATTGAAGCGGTGATCAGCGAAAAAACTAAGGTACAACACCGGTCCTCAATCCCTACTAATCCTAATACCTTACCCCAAAACGAATTAATACTATACCAAAACCTTTACGATAACCAAAACGTGTTCCGGGACATAACTAACTTAGAATCACCTAGAACTTTCGCAAGATTAAACGCGGATAGACTTAGAACTATAACGACAGCAAACGAATTAGCTTGCGAAAATAACTTGATAGCTCCCAAAGAAGTTTTAGCCAACGCTTTCGCGGACCACATTTATAAAGTAACCAATCAGAAGCCTTCTACGTCGCGTATCGATGAGATTCTGACCAATAAGATTATGGGGAATGTCAAAAACAACGAAAACGAAAAGGAGAATCAGTGGTGGCAAACGGAGAACAAAGATACGGGACAGACGGATGGTAATATTTTCGGTAATGAGTATTTTATATTCGGCGATGGTTATGTGGAATGAATAAGGGATTTTTTGTTAATATGAAATGTTCATAAGCATATATGGTTGTTTGGATCATATAAAAAATGGTTAATGCACATTCCTGAAATTGCTGTGAAGGATATAGAATTCGTATTTTTTTTTAATAAAAAAATGTTTAGTCGGGACAATCCTCAAACTAAAGTTGATAAAAATATATTTTCATTTCGTTTGAACAGGATATTGAAAAAACTTCAATGACGAAAATAAGATAAATATAATATTACTGACTGATTTCTTTGAATTTCAGTAAATTAAGTGAAGTCCAAGTACCGTCACTATTTAAATTCATATGTTAAAATTAAAAAAAGCTATTGAGACAAAATAATAAGAATTACTGAAAAAGCGAAAACATTGTTCTGAAGAGGTTTTGAAATTTGCAAATTGTCTACATTTTGGCTGTTTAAGAAAACTGTTTATGTATATAAATGAATCGAACAAAATAAATTTTAATATATAACTGATCAAGATAAATAGTAATAAATAAATCGTTATTCAAAAGTACAATTTAATTTGATAATCATAGAATCGTACGAACTTGTGACGTCATGAGTGTCCTGTTTTTGACAACGAATAGAATATGAATTGTTTTAAATGAAATACATTTTACACAACTGCTAAAAGGAGTGTAATTAAATAATTTATTGTGAGACGAAATAAAACCTTATTACGCTTATTTTAAATTATATAATCGTTTTGTAAACTATTTTTATTGACTATGCTAATAATGGTATGATAATAATCATTCATAATAAAGTTTTGAACAAAATTTGATTGTAAAAATCTTTAAATTTTAAATTATATCAATGTTTTGATTTTTTCAAAGTATTCAGCAATACTATAATACTATTCAAATTCTCCAAAATCTATCCAGAACTTGTTTGCCTGATAAAATATAACAAAAATAAAAATTCATAGGTTCCTTATTTATTACATCCTTTTGTACAGGAAGTCTAAATGTTAATGTAATGTACAAAAATTTGAATCAAATCGGACGATTGACAATTGACACTCATTTTTTCTGTACAGAAGGAGGAAAAGGAATAAACCTATAAACATAAAATAAGGTATTACTATACTGCATATTATAATATGGCATCTAAAATCAGCTTCATAACAATTTTGTTTAGACACTTAACCCCCTTTTTAATAAACGAAACTAAACTTGGATTAGTTACTCCATGTTTTCTCTCTGTTCATTGAATGACAAATGCCATTTGAGTGACATGAACAGCACACGGCGTAAAATGCGATTCAACTAAGAATAGGACCGACTGGGCGCCATATTGTGACGTCATAGCTGTCAATTCATGAATAATCATGCACTATTAGTAGGTCACATACGAACATGCATCCTTTATGTAAACGAACGTTTTAAATAGAGTTGCTGAATGCAACTTAAAGTGACATTTGGTTGACGATTTAGGTTATCAACCATTGACAGATGGAGGTCATTGGCTTTCCTATTCTTATTTGGATTGCACTATAATAAGGTTATTCCTCTTTTAATAAGGTGGTAGAAGCACTCGATTAAATAATCGACTATATTGTAAATAATCATAAAAACAACATACACAACCATTTAGCCAATATAAGCTGCATTTTAAGTAAAGCCAGTAGCAAAATAAGAACAGAGAAGCACTTTTGAATTCAACGGTACTGATTCACCATTGTTAAATGACAGAAACTAGAAAAGCGAAATAATTCTATAAAAAAATCAAGCATGATTTTTGACAGTTACTTTATTCTTACATCCGATAGTTTTCATAGAAACTTTAACGATGCGATACGATTAAGTAGCTGTCAAAATTGGGGTTTTGGGCCTCTGATTCACCATACAAAAATGTTCAGTAACCGCTAAGCATGGCAAAAACTTAAAAACTAACACTTTTTTTTCGTAACAAAGTTATCGTTCTACATTATGCATGCTTTGCATAGCACTATCTTTCTTAAATGTTAGTTTTAAGAGTGATATATTATCATTGTTAAATACAAAACGATGTGTGTCTTAACCAATTATGAGAATGAAAAAAATATTCTTATTTCATAACCAGTTAGGAAACAGCGAAAAAAAAAAAATCTTCTTTTGTGAATGGTAAAGAAAAAGGGTAACGAAAATGTACTAAAGGTCTAAATCTTACTTAGATTGGACAAAAGAAGTTCGTGAATTATACTAATGTGTTCGATGATTTGAAATGGATAATGAAGCGATCGGAAAGTTAACATAGAAGGTCTTTCGAAAAAGCCTGACAAAATAAATTACATGTTCCAAAAAAGGAATGGAAAAAGCATTATTTAATCAATAAGCATTTTATTTTAATGTTAAGAGCACCAAACTAATTTTAACGTTTAACGAGATTAGGAATTAAGGGACCAAAGATGAAATTTTCATCAAATGAATATCGTTGTGGATTTTATTAATATATATCGGTGTAGTTAGATTTAAAAGTTATTAATCTAGTTTTTAATTTTAAAATGCAAAAAAGTATACCTCAAGTTTACCATGCACCAAATCGTTTTAGAGAATACTAGTTGGTAGTCGTACATTTTTGATTTCGTTTTAAGGATTTCGAGTACTTTTAGGTTGTAGGTCTAAAAATTTACTTGTTTGCTGTAGTAACAAAAAACAAGTAAAAATTGCGTGATTAAAGATAATAATGTTTTTCCCTTACAGTATTTTTAAAAACTTGGCTGTAAGGACTAATTTCCAAAGCATAAAAATAAAAATGTAAAAAATCGGGTAGGAACTAACCAATCCTCATGTTAGGCCACCTATCCTATCCCTGTATTTATTTATTTAGAAACTCTATTAATGATAGTATTTTGCTTTGTAATTTTGCCTTTAATTATTTTTTAAAGATTGGGATCATATAAGACACATTAATTATTGTTTTTTACGTTTACATTGATGACATTTCTACACATTCAGTATACTTAGCACGAACCAATATCCAATTGGAATAGTTGCATTCGATCTCGATACAAGTCAAATTTCAAGATGTTTTGTATGGGAGATTTTTAATATTTGTTACGTCCGCTATGGCACTGTTCAAACTTCCATATAATAAACTTCTTGACATTTGACGCGTAAGCGAGATTGAATTGAACTATTCGAATTCAATATTGGTTCGTGATAAGGGTAATGATTGATTATAATTTTAAACTGTAAATATTAGTACAAGGATACGAAAAACACGCATAAGTAATATAAATCAAAATCCGTGTAAATTTTATGTTGTGATGTAAACGCAAAAAATTTGATTGTACAAACTTTCTCTTCAGCCCAGTTTTGTAGTATTTGGAAGTATTGTCACAACGGTTGTGAAATTATTTATTACTAACTCTTTTTTGTTAATTTTTTTATGGAAATCGGCAGCTATACTTAATTTTATATTTTATTTGAAATAAAGAAATGACATTATTTAAAAAAGATTATCCTGTCTGTCCTCACTCCACTCCTTTCCCAATCACAATATTGACAGACCAGTGTTGAATCTACATATTTTTTTTCTACTTATTGCTTTTAAACTTATTTATTTAGAAACTTGTTAAAAGTGATTGTTTTTTGTTACTATTTATGTTTTATCTTTATATAAAATGTTTTAATTTATTCTGTAGCGGTAGGTCCATTATTATTATTGTAATAATATGGTAACATATTTTGTATTTTGAACAAATTGTGTTTATTTTTTTTATTATTCTTTTGAGTAGTTTAGTGTCACTGTCAATATTGTTTGTGCTCCATTCCAATGTCCGTTTAATGAACCAATGTCATTTTTTATTTCAATAAAATGTATTTTTCACAGTATCTCTTGGTTTATTATTTACCTAGCTGATTTCGCATAGAAAAAGATTGCTAATTTATAAGGAATATGAATTCTATATATAATATGAATAAGGTTGTCAATGATATATTGTTTTAAACTTTCATGGTCACTAACATTATAGATATTAACGGGATTGTTACCATGTACCTTGTTTCTCCGTGATCATGGCGCTTGCAACAGTGCCGAAATATCGGAGACTCATAAAAAACAAGGTACATGGTAACAATCCCGTTAATATCTATAAGGTTGTCAATGATTTCGGCTTCTAACACTAGAGCATTTTTTGAGCTGTCAAAGCTAATCTACTTGATAACATGATCAATAGAAACGACATACATCTTGTGCCATTCAATATGCAAAATGATCCTAATTGCCAAATATATGAAGTTAACTAACTTTATAAAGATGCTTTAGTGTTTGAAGCCGAAATCACTGCCAATCTCGCTTTAACTTTATTTCAATAACTTTAGAAGTCATATTCGTTTAAACTTAGCAATTATACATGCCCTGTCTTTGGAAATTCGCACACGAATGTTTTCGGAAACGCCGCAATCAGACAAGCCCTTTAAACCCTAATGCTTGCCAAAGTGAGGCGTTGTCAATTATATAATAAAAAAAATAACAACTTCGTTTTCCTCGAAAATTTTAAAAAAGGTCTTTTAAGTTAAACAACTAATGTTGTTGCTGTCAGTTACGATAAGAATATAATAAGACAACACGAGACTCAATGAGACATTAAATTTTATGTTTCTGAGTACTACTGTGTGTCCATTACAAATAAAGACTATGCCGCTAGCTGGATCACACTTAATAGATTGTCTTTTATGTTGCCTTTTGGACAACTAAAAAGATAGAAACATTTAAAAAACAAAGTTAACATTTATAAGATTCCAAAAAAAGATCGTTTAATATTAGACTCTATTGAGAAGTAACCTCTGCTATTCATAAGTGTTAGCTAGTTGAGAACTTTTTGGTCACCCATCCAATAACTGACCATTGTCAATGTTGCTTAACTTTCACGATCGCAGGCTGAATGAGCCGTCGAACTCCTCTAATAATTATAGCTCCGATATCTTTATATTGTCATCGTCTTTATGATGGTCAAGAATCCCAACTATCGAGTCTTTAATCCGTTTAATCTTAAGGCCCAATTATTTGCATAAGAACGCATCTGCAATAGTATTGAACATTCGCATTGTAGATAAGGCGTAACTCGGAACCGATACTGGTGAAGAAGTCAGCGGTGCGATCCATCAGATTTGACCAGGACCACAGTGACGTCAACCAGGAGAAACCTATCTCGTTTATATTGGTTAGTATGGGTAAAATATATAAATATTTCCAACACTTACACCAATTAGCCTAGCCCAAAGTAAGCACTGTAAGGCTTGTGTTATGGGATGCTAGGATAACGAATAGAATACACATACAGTTCATATACAGTGGTGGTCACATAATAGGGTATTTGACAGTATTAAAAATAAAGTGCCAATTGTTAGCATCTGTGTTTAGAATGAATATTGGCAGGGGTTTTTACTATTTTTACAA